CCCATATCTAAGCCATAACATCTGCTAATTACTTTTTCTATCTGAAATGACTTTCCTGCATCAGAGCAGGTCTCCTCATTCAGGAAACCACTGGGAGACACTGGAGACACTGTTGAAGATCTTGTTTATGACTGTAGACCCTAAAACAAACTTTGGTTTCAGTTTCAACCCATCTTATCCCTGGAACTGGGTACCACAGTCAGCCCAGGGACTTACCTAGGGACCCACAAGGAGCCTTCCCAGAGACTTGGAGAGAGCTACGTCTCTCAGCACATGTGGTAAAGGCATGTTATCTGCAAATACTGAGGTTGTTTGTTTTCACAGCACCAAACCCACAGGAAAAGGTCCTGGAGACAGAACAAGATGAGACCTACATCTGTGAGGGCCCAGGGTAACAGGCCTATCAACACAGACTCCTTGGCAGACCCAGCATCAGTCATCATACCTGGATTCAACTCCACTTCCAGAGACCACTTTATCAACCTGGAGACATAACAGGATAAGATGTTAATTTCCCAAAAGCAGTCCATAAATACTGAAATTCAATTTGCTTCTTTAAATGCACATATGTTGATGTAAAGATACATGGATAACAAGGAGACAAAAAATACACCATGAAAAGAAACTGATAAGCTCCAATAATCCCAAAGAAAAGAAGTTATATGGATTTCTTGCAAAACAATTAGAATTCAAAATAATTAACTTAAAGAAGCTCAATGAGATGTAGAAAACATGCGTAAAAGCTAAATGAAATTTGCAATATAATACCTAAACAAAATGAGAAATTTAATGAAGACATAGGTGCTATACAAAGCTCAGAGCTAATAAACATGACAACAGAATAAAAAAATTCAATAGAGTTTCAATAGTAGATGATCATGCAGAAGAAAGAATTGTAGAACTAGCTGACACTTCATTTTCAATTATCCAAGGAGAAGAAAAAAGAAAGAAATTTGGGTTTCCTTTAGAATATGGTGAAAATAAACACTAACTTAAAAAAAAAAGCCTGGAATAGTGAAGAAAACATAAAGAACCTATGGTACGCAATCAAATGTGTTAGTATATGAATATAGGACTGTTAGAAGGAGAAGACAGAGAGAAAGGAATGGAAAGCTTATTCAAAGAAATAAGAATATCTGAAAAGATCCCAATCTTGGCAGGCATATGGAAATACAAACTCAAGAAGCACAAGGGACTCCAAGCAAGATCAGTTCATAAATGAATACTTTTAAAAGTCAAATTAGAGAGAATATTGGAAACAGCAAGGGAGAAAAAAATCATCACACAGAGATGCTCTCTCCTAAGGTTTTTAGTGGATATGATCCACCAAAGGATAAGGACTTCTCCTTCATAAAATCTGTAAAAATCACCATCTAACTCTGTAATTGCTCTAATTACATCTCTATTTCCTCAAAACCTACTGATCAAAATAAAAATGAGAAAATTAAAACAAAGTGCAAGAACTAGAACTATAATCAGTTGGAGTAAAGCATAGAGGAATTAGATGAGATGGTCTGTTCAATGATTTCTTGGGTATGATTCTCAAAGCACTGGAAACCAAAGCAAAACTAAACATCAAATTAATAAGCTTCTGCATATCACAGGAAACACCTAATAGAGTTAAAGCACTATCCATAAATGGGGAGATATCTGGTAAGAGGCTGTTATCCAAAACCTATAAGGAACTTGAATAGCTCAATAACAAAACAAAACAAAAAACCACCACCGCCCCACAAAAAGCAACCAAATAATTGAATTTAAAATTGGACAATCATTTCTCAAAAGAATCAGTGACCAATAGATACAAGGTTACTTCAAGAAGTTCATAGAAACGGAATAAACTAATCTTTTACATAAAAGATAAATAAACTGATCTTTTACATAAAAATCAGTTTATTTCAGTGCATAAAGTCCCAGTAGATTGATGGTCAGGATGGAATATACCATGTTAAGGATATTGAGCACATGTCGTCAGGGTGCCGTGGGCTGTGTGTGTTATGTGATCGTAAAATCACTTCCCATGAACTTCTTGAATTATGCCTGTTTATGAAAAATTCTCATCCTAACTAATTATCAGGGAAATGCAAACTAGGTAATAGTTTAGAGAAGAGGAAACTCTTGTGTGCTATTGTTTGGAATATAAACTAATAAAGCCATTGTGGAAAAAATATGGCAGTTCCTTAGAAAACTAGAAATGAAATTGTCATATGATCCAGAGACCTTATTTCTGGGTAAACATCCAAAGGAAGTAAAATCAGTATGTTGAAAATGTATCTACACTCCCCTGTTTATTGAAATACAATTTGCAATAGCCAATACAGAAATCTTCTGTCTATCATTAGATTAGTGGTTAAAGAAAATACAGTATATATACACAGTGAAATACTATTTAGCCTTAAAAAGGAAGGAAATTCTGTCATTTGTGACAACATGAATAAACCTGGAGGATATTACACTAGATGGTACAGTCAGGCTCAGAAAGACAAACACCAAATTAACTCACTTATATATGGAATCTAAGATATTGAATCATAGAAGTAGGTAGTAGAATGATGGTTAGCAGAGGCTGTTGGGGAGGGGTTGGATGCAGAATGTGGAAATGTTCATTAAACGCTATAAGTTTCAGTTAAGCAGAAGGGTGGAACTTCAGTGATCCTTTGCATAGAGTGATGACTATATATAATAATGCATTGTATATTCCAAAACTGTGGAAGCAGTGGATTTTAAATATCCCCCCCGAAAAGTATGAGTTTATGTATTTTTTAATTAGCTTGATTTCATTCATCCATAATGTAAATATATATAAATACAACACATTATACTTTATTGATATGATATATACAATTGTTAGTTTTCAACTAAAAATAAATTTTTAAACAATTTTTAAAAAATAAAAAAGTAAAATAAAATAAATTTTGATTAATAAAAGTGTCTAGTTTATAGGGTGGATGTGAAAATTAAATAAGCTAGATTGTGTTATCAACTTAAAATGTTGTCTGGCACATAGTAAATACTCAATAAATGTCAACTTTTATGATAAACTTACTTATTGTTGTCTAACTGAATATTATGCCATGGCAACAGCCTCTGATAACAAGGAACTAACATCTTTTACAGACATAGACATGTTCAAGTTTGAATTTTAAAATCAATCAATTAAACAATCCAAAAAACCCACAGAGCTAGAGCTTCAAAATTATACTTACAGGAAGTAAAATATATGCAAACATGGCAGAAGAAAATTTATTCCTAAGATTGGCAAAAAAGTAAGTTAATTTAGCTGTCTACATTAGCTAGCTGATGGTCTCTTGTTGACAAAATGTGATAATTAGCAAATTTGAGTGGGCCTGTTGTTTTGTAAATATGGTTTTCAAATTAGTTCAGAATGTATTTTAATATTTTAGTTGAAAGTTTGCTGAACTTTTCAGAATTCTTAATTTAATCTGGGAGATTTAAAAGATCTTGGTTGGGGCCAGCGCTTTGGCATAGCAGGTAAAGCTGCCTGCAAAACCGGCATCCAGTATGGGTACAAGTTCAAGTCCTGGCTAGTCCACTTCTGATCTAGCTCTTTGATATGGCCTGGGAAAATTGTAGAGGATGGCCCAAGTGGTTGGGCCCCTGCATCCATGTAGGGGACCCAGAGGAAGCTCCTGGCTTTGGATTAGCACAGCTTCGGCCATTGCGGCCAACTGGGGAATGATGGAATACTATGGATGGAAGACCTTGCTCTCTCTCTCTGCCTCTTCTTCTCTCTCTGTGTGTATCTCTGACTTTCAAAGAAATAAATAAATCTTAAAAAAAAATAAAAGATCTTGGTTGAAAATATTGGTCTAGTTGAGCATGATCTTTTGTTATGCACCTTACTTAACTTTATCCTTTCAGTAATGTGTGTGCATAGAGGTGTATGTGTTTATATTTGGTAATAATTATTCCCAGATAAGACTCTTGCTCATAATACTTCTTAATTAGACTGTATTCAAATCTAAAGGCAGTTACTGAAGAACAAACACTACCTGTAATGTATTGAAGACAGAAAAATAAGCCCTGAGATTACTAATGCAATCTACTAGGTTTGTTCATAGTCCTTGCATTCTCAGTAATGGAAGTGACATTGGATGATGGCATGTCTTCCCTACAGATCTATCTATTTGGTGCTATCAAAAACAAAAGGATTCTATTAAGAATTTTTAATGGCTAGTTTAGGATTTGAGCTAAGAATATGGGCTCCAAATAATCCCTGGTATTAAAGAGTAAATGAAACTTTGCCTAAATCAAAATAGGGCTTTCCACATCAGTGAAACTTAATTTATAAAAATCACTTCAAAAAATCCTGAGTGCAAACTTGTATCATGAAGTCATCAAATCCAGGGCCATTTAAGAAGTGTTGGCAATGCTTCTGTGTAAGTAACTTGGATCTGTAGCCAAAGTACTGCCAATAAATGTTAAAATTTGAAGCTATTTGATTTTAAAATAATAAAGCCAATTATTAAACTCAAAGTTTTGGTTTTTTGCATTGCAGCATGTACATTAGAAAATAGGCATAACCACAGGTAGTTACAGTTGTAGGTACTTTTTATTCTCAAAGAACATAAATTTTTTTAAATATACACATACATACTCATGTACATTATAAGTAAAATGCTTACTGAGTATTGTGAAAAGATGGAACACTTATTTAATAGGACTGCAAATGCACAATGGGTGATACAACACGCATATAAAATTAGATCAAACAGGTACATTGACCACTGCCACCAGGACAAACAGATTCAAGCAGCAAACATTTATTTTTTTTTTTTTTTTAAATAACACTTTTTAAATAGTAAAATATACAAGAGATTCCTGAGCATAACAAAAATATCTTGAAAATATGTGGCCATTTGAAGTACAAAATAGCAAGTGTAAGAATAGCATGATTGTAAAACTACTGTTTGAAGGCTTATAAACAGTACAAAATAGTTTGCCTTTTCTGAGTGCATACTTATACATTAGTGCAAACAAAAGGTCTCAAAATTTAATGGCTACAAATCTCAAAGATTTGCAGAGGTGCGCAAAACGTGAAACTTCTTTAGTGTCATGCGAACTGAGCCCAGTTCTCGATTAATCCTTTCCAAACGATCTTCCAAGGCTTCCTGATTTAACCTTGTCTGTAAAGTGACTCGTCCTCCAGGAGAAGGCATTCGGCTTAGTGCTGCCTCAATCTGGTCCTTTTCTTTTGTTAGTTCATCAAAGAAGCGTTCCGTTTCAGCGAGGGTTCTAATTTTTGCAGTATATTCAAAGTCAGTACCCTGCGGTGTCACGGGAACCAGCTCACGCTGTTCCTGGCCAGCTAGTTTACACTTCTCCCAGGCTGGTCTCGCAGGGGCTTTCTTCATTCCATTTGGCAATGGTTCGGGGCAAGAGCTATGATTAACAAGGTTGTCTGCGGCTTTTTCTGAATATTTTTTTTCTTCAGGGTCATCTAGAGGAAGAAACTGGAGTTGTTTTCTTGCATTGGTTCGTTGTAATGTAGACACAGGAACAGTATCTAAATCATCCAAAAGTATATCAAATCGAGTTGGACTGCTTTCATTTTTGCTAAGTAGATGACTAAATCCTGGGGACAAATTTTCTTTAGGGGATCGCTTTGGACTATAAGCCACAGTCACTGGTGTTAACATAATCTCTCTTTTTGTTGGGGTGCTTGGCTTGCGGTTTGAAGGCGGCAAAGACGAAGATCTCTGTGAGGCGGAGTTGAGTCTCCTCTGTCTCTGCTGGGCACATTTCTCTGGGGAGCGACTGACTGAAGTTTCTGTGTGCCGGGGATTCATATTTGAGGTGCCCTCTTTCTCTGTTTGTGTCCCCCAGTTCTTAAATATCTTCTCTTCATCAAGTTCTTTTAGGGCTTTCATGACTGCTGTGTCTGATGTCTCTCTCTGTTTTTTTAAGCTTGTTGGTGAACTTCCAGGAGAGGAATCCTTTTCTGGAGGAGAACAGTACCCAGGAACACAGGTTTCCTCCAGCTGGCCGTCCACTTGGCTCTGGCTGTCCAGAGGCTGCCCAGTGAAGATAGAGTACTCTGCACCTGGTATCAGCCACTTCCGCCTGCTGACGTCTGCAGTTGCTACTGTGTTGGCACGGGGGGGTCGCACATGAGCTTTGGCATGATGGCGAAGACTCAACATATTTTCATGCTCGACTTGCTTGACCTGAGCTTCAAGTTTTGAAATTGTTCTTTTCAAATCAGAAATCTGAGTATGTGCGTCAAGCAATTTGTTCTCAGCTGTATTTAATGTATCCTTTACTCGACTGTGCTCTTTTCCAAGGGATTCATACTCTCCTAAAAGATCTTGAAACATTTTGTTTTCTTGTTTCAGCCTAGCTTCTTTATCATCTGAGAGTTTGTAGGCGTTCTCAAACGCTTCTTCTAGATCTTGCAGTCTAGACTTGAGCCGCATGATGGTGTTGTCTTTTTCTTTATTACTTGTTCTCATCTCCTCAATTCGTTCCTGCAAAATTTTGGAAGCACTGCTGGCTGCACTGAAGCGTTCCCTCAAATCATTCACCTCTATTTCCAGTAAGTTATTCTTATTTTCAAGTGTTCTCACACGACAAGTAGCTTCATTCAAAGCATTATCTAATTGGCTACATCTGTCTACAAGAATCTGATTGGTTTTCTTCCAGTCTTCAACTGCAGAAATCTCCTTTGCCTCCAGCTTCTGTTTCAGACTAGCAATTTCTGATTCGTAATAAGCCCGAAGATCTGCCACATGCCGCGCATGCTTCTCTTTCAGGGTCTGCCTGATCCTGTTAGACAATATCACAGGATCGTCCAAGGAAGTCAATGAAATGCATTCTGGGACACTGTTGGCTGTACCTGGAAGCTGGGACTGACTGACAGAGGCCGAAGCTACCAAGACAGTGTTTTCTTCGTCTACAGTGTTGACCGAGAGGTCATTACTAGCAACAGTGTACACCGAGGGAAACGTGGAACTGCTCCTACTTTCGTTTTGGAATGCATGATTCTTCCAAGAGTCCACTGGTGAAGCTTTGGTCTTTGAAGGATATTTTGGGAATCCAGGAGCAATGTTACTTGCTTGTGAAAATGAGTCTATGTCAGAGTGACTAGACACGCTAGGTTCTAGGACAGAATCTGGGGAAAAGGATATTCTGTCATCGAGGGCATTCAGAAAGTCCTGTGGTTGCACTCCCGAAACCTGCGGAATCGGCTTCATGGGTAGTGCTGAATCCAAAGTCAGTACCTGTCTAGGTGACAGATCCATGGACGGGGTGGGGACAAACGTCTTCTCTAAAGTGTCAGGCAAAGAGTGATACAAGTCCTTCTCCTCCAGCTTCCAGTATGTCAGTCCTGTTCCTGAGTCAGACACCCAAGCAGTCGGGCTTTCATCCGGTTTATTGAGGTAAAAAGCACAAGGATGTGGGACAGCAGCAAAATCAGATTTCTCAACTGGTAACTTCTTGCTGTGTTCACTTCCTCGCTTAGATCTTGAACAGCCTTCTTCTACATGTGCCCTCTTTGGTTGGTTCTGCTTCAGCTTTTGTGCCCATGAAGTTACAGATTTACTGTTTGTTTTCCCACTGTATACTTCAGAAATCTTATTTTCCTCAAGAAAATTATGTTCAAATTCACCAGGAAAAATGGAACACTCTTCCTTTAAAGAGTCACAAAACTCTTTGGTGGTCTGTATGTAACATTTCTTGTTTTTCATGCCACCCACAAGCGAATCTGTCTGCACCACTGGTGCCCCATATTGTCCTTTAGAAACATCTGGGTGCTCCATGAACTCCTGGGTGTCCTTGGACTTGTCAGTATTTAATTCTGACACACAGAAGGTACCATAGCCACTGCTCACTGAGCTGCTATCCACGTTGCAGTCTGGTTGTGATGTGGACGTCTCGTGCTGCATCTCAGGTTCTTTTGACTTAGGGTAGCTGACAACACATTCATTTCTTTCACTGCTTTCAGAAAAAAAAACCCATTTGACTTTCTGAAGATGCCTGTTTGCTGGAAGAACTTTTCTCACAGGAAACCCAGGAAGCATTACTGGTCTGCAGTTTGACTAAATTTTTTATCTCTTCCTGTATACGTTGAATTTGGTTGTGGAACTGTTCCTGCTGGGCAACAATCTGTTCTTGGCATTGCTTTTCCACCAAACTGAATAGCTGTGACCACCTGGCCTCACAGTTTTTCCAAAGCTCCGAATCTGTCTTCCCACTGTTTCGCAGCTCTTGCATGAAAGAGGTTAGGACTTCAACTGTGCCTTGGATGACAGAGGGCCCGGTCTTCCCTATTAGAGTTTATGTTAAGTCCAAGAGAATGGGGAGAATTTTTGTTATCAGATTCCACAGAAGATGTTCGCTGTATCGTTTTTACCAAATCAAAATCTTCCATAGTGTACAAACTGTTATACTCTTTTATTTGAAAATATAGGTTCTTTCACTGTTTGAGGAAACTGAATCCGAGTCTTCCTCAGACGTTTCATCGTCTATCGGCATTTTCAGTCGCTGACATTCAGAAGTCTGAGAGATCCTAAGCTTGCAAGAGGGTCTGGCCCCGCTCCCACTGCCCAGCAAACATTTATTTAAATGACCTATTGCAGGACCTAGGAGAATGGCAGAAGATAAAAAAACACTGGAAAAAGCATGTAGGTTTTTCATTCACCAAATACTTCTGTGGTTAGGGGAGAAATGATGGGAAATGACCAGACTTATTTGGCCTTTTCTCTGACAAAGGTGGAGAAAAGGGAACAGTGGGTGGCCATCTTCCCAATGACCTCATTGTAAATCCATTTGTTTTAGATGCTAATCCGTTTTTATTGTGTCAGGTTAGGTGACTTAGGTAACTGCTGGCCTTGCAGCTCTGGTGTGGTCGGATGGCACACTATAAACTGGAAAGCAGCCAGGTCTTGCCCAATATAGAGTTGCTTCAAGCCTTTGATGACATAAGTGTCTAATAAATAAAATATACCTCATCAGCTAAAGCTTAGCCTGATAATTAGACAGGAGAGCGGGTTGTTTCATGTTTAAAATCCTACAAGCTCTGAGATACTCAGAGTGAAACTCAAAAGCAAATACTAACTAGTAAGTTTGGGTAAAGTCTGGTTTCTTCACTTTCAAAGAACTTACCATTTATAGTGGCTTAACAAAGAGGCCTATAGCCTGTCTGTTATCTAACAATTAGCAGAAGAAATATGGCTTTGATAAATTAAGTGTGAGTGAGTCATAAATGGATCATAAATTGCAGGGTTAGTATTTTCTTGGAAGATATACAGATTCCCAAATTAAAGATGAAAAAAAAATTGGCAGTTATTGTCCCTGCCTTGTGGTTTCTAAAATAGTTTTGTAATAGTCTGTGCCTCCCTCTCTGTACCACTCTTTTCATGGGACCAGGAATGCTTTGGATGTGGTTCGTCCTCCAGGGTTCACCTGTTGGGAGCATGGGTAGTGGTATGGGAGGTGTTGTGTAATATTTAAGAGATGGGGCCTAATGAGAGGTTCTTGGGCATCTGGGGTACAGTCCTAGGAGGGGTAAGATACGTTGAGCCCCTGGTTAGTTCTCATGACGGGGTTGTTATAAAAGCCAGAGCAAGAGTCCCCCTCCGTCTTTTTGTCCCCCAATTTTAAGATTTGCTCTGGGCCTAACAATTGTGCTGCAGTATGTTAAGCTGTGATGCAGGCATCCCTTATCCAAGCACTAGTCTGAGTCCTAGAAACGTGGCTTCCTTTCCAGATCCCTGCTAATACTCTTGGGAAAGCAGAGGAAGATAGCCCAAGTACTTAGCCCTCTGCTACTGTTGTGGGAGACCCAGAGGGAGTTCCAAGCTGCTGTCTTCAGCCTGGACCAGCCCTAGCCATTGCAGGCATCTGGGAAGTGAACCAGCAGATGGAAGATGCATCTCTCTCTCTTCCTCTCCCTCCCTCTCTCTCTCTCTCTCTCTCTCTTTCTCTGTGTCTTTCAAATAAATAAATAATTTTTTAAAAAAATAGAAAAAGATGTGCTCTCTCCCTCTCACATGTGCCCCCACCATTGCATTCTACTGTGATGTGAAAATGCCGAATGGGGCTTTTCCAGGGCTAAGCCTGTGCAGGTGTCATTGCCCTTGAGACTCGAAAGTTGTGAGTGAAATAAACCACTTCCCTTCACAAGTTACACTGCCTTGGGTATTTCATTATAACAATGAAAAATGGACTGCATTAGGATCTGTGCAACCAAAAAGTGTTGAAGACTTCTAGAAAGGCTAAAGAATGATAGAGATCATATTTAAATCAACATTAAATGAAGAACAGTAAGTTATCAACTCTCATGTTCTTTAAAGAAAATACAAAATCCTGTGTTAATTCCTTCCCCACCTTAAGCCCCCTACATTGTCCCTTAATTTAGGTTGTTAAGGAGAGAAAAAATAAGTCTAAGAATGAGACACAAATTATATTAGCATGGATGAGGCCCTTCACAGCCAAAGGCATTCTTCCTTGGTGAGTTCAGGTGTAGGTTGACTTCCAAACCCCTGGCTTTCATTGCCCATCAATGGAAAACTCCTGAATAGGTAGGGACTTCCTGGAAGTGGAGATCAAGCTTAGTTTTCAATAGTTTCTGACTCCTTTTCTGATAGGCATAGAATCTCAGCAATCAGATGTTTTTTCTTTTTTAAAAAAAGATTTACTAACTTTTTTGACAGGCAGAGCTACAGAGAAAGAGGGAGGGAGAAAAAGAAAGAATGTTTTCCATCAGCTGGTTCACTATCCATATGACTGCAAACCAGGAGCCTGGGAGTCCATCTGGGTCTCCCACATGGGTGGCAGAGGCCCAAGCATTTGAGCCATCTTCCATTGCCCTCCCAGGTCATCAGCATGGAGCTGGATCAGAATTGGAACAACCAACACTCAAACTGATGTTCATATGGCATACCAGCCTTACAGGTAGTGCCTTAACCAGCTGTGCACCAATGCTGCCCCCTTAGATCAAGAATTTCTTTAGGGTTTTCACTGCACGTAGTTATGTTCTATTTCCCCCTGCCCCTGACTCGCGGTTGGACATCACACAATTGCTTCATCGGTCCATTTATTGCTGTCTAGGTAAAGCTGGAAGCAGCAATATGTACACTCCTGAAAGACACTATTCATCTTCTGCCTCATTTATCCCATGTGAATTCCATACCTAAGATTGTCTGTCTCACCAGGGCCTCAGACATGAGATGACTGAATTGAAGCGAATCCCTGCTCTGTCGTGCCTGCTGATCCTCAGCTGCATGGAAATCAGGTAGCCTCCACGCCACTGTTAGAAACTGCAAGTACCGTTTTGCTGACGTCTCAATCCCATCTCACTACCTTACTGTCGATAGATAATTCAGCTGTGCTCCTTCATGACCTTGCTCTGTGTCTTCCCACTTTCCCCTTTTCTCCCCTCATCTCTTCTCTTTCTCATCTCTTCATTTTATTTGGTACATCATCACTGTTCTCCTTCTCTCTAACTTCAGTGACACCTTCCCTACCAAAAGCTTTATAGGCAGTAATTAGGTAGCAGGCTTTGGGATAAAGAGACCAAGAATGTCTTCTTGACTTCTAAGGTTGCAATATAGGATTTCATTGAAAGGAGGGAGCCAAATGGACGCAAATCTCAGATTTTGTCCCCTCAACCAAGCCAAACCCAATCATATGTTAAGTTAAACATTTCAGAAACAAAGTCTTCTTAAATACTATGAAAACATGGAAATATTCTCCCCGTCCAATAGTGACAGAAAGTTCCAGAAGAGTAATAATGCCATATAAGCAAGAACAAGATGTCTAGTGAACAGAAAACAAGTAGCAACAGGAGTGGTCTGAAGGAAAGACGTTTTAGTAAGTTATGAACATTGCGCCAGTGCCGCGGCTCACTATGCTAATCCTCCGCCTTGCGGCGCCGGCACACTGGGTTCTAGTCTCTGTCAGGGCGCTGGATTCTGTCCCAGTTGCTCCTCTTCCAGGCCAGCTCTCTGCTGAGCCCAGGGAAGTGCAGTGGAGGATGGCCCAAGTGCTTGGGCCCTGCACCCCATGGGAGACCAGGAGAAGTACCTGGCTCCTGCCATCGGGTCAGCGCGGTGGGCCGGCCGCAGTGCGCCGGCCGTGTCGGCCATTGGAGGGTGAACCTACGGCAAAGGAAGACCTTTCTCTCTGTCTCTCTCTCACTGTCCACTCTGTCTGTCAAAAAAAAAAAAAAAAACAAAAAACAAAAAACAAAAAACAAAACAAACAAACAAACAAACAAAAAACACACACACACATTGCAACGGAAGATCACAGAAATGTACAAGGGCTGGTCAGGGGCCTCAGAACTCAATGTCTCACTGTAAGTTCTACTTTAGGAGCAGCGATACCATCTGTTATAGTAATTTCTGTTGTTAAGGTACAGTCCTGAAGAACCTCCAGCATCCTGTTTACTCAGCGGTTTCATTTGTAGGCTGATTTCCTGAACCCTCCCCTTTGTTGTCTATCAGCTGAGCATCCCTGGATGGGTAGAGGCTTCCTAGAGGATTGGTGGTCAACAGCTTCTCTTGATATTTTCTACCGCCCATCAGCCAAGAGGTCTTTGAAATACTATGTCCATGCTAATGTCATATCCTCCTTCCCAATCCCTTGATTCAAGTCCCTCTGCTCTACTGAACACATCACACCACAGATTGGCATTCTTTAATTAGTAAGACACATCTATCTACTACGGGCCAGACACTGGGGTTACTCAGATAATTTGATTTCTTTCTACATTTTTCTGTCTAGGATTTTGCACTTCAGTAGTCAGCCATTCTTCTATGCTAAATGAAAATCTACCTTTGCACAAATTTATAGAACATGAGATTTTGTGATGCTAAAAAATAAGAAATATGTTTAATCCAGTATTCAGCATTATATTACCTTTAATATATTCCTTAGCAAATGCATTATATTTTTATTTGTAATACATAGAAAATTTCTGTTTTTATTAGGTTAAAGAAATAAGAGTTGTGAGAGATGGATTATCTCACTCCTTATTAACCTGCACAAACCAGTGAATCAACTTTTTTAAACACTAGATACTTAAAGAAAACAATTTTTTTCTTGAGTATGATGACCAAAGGAGAAGAAAGTGATACTAATTGGCCGGCTAGCAAGTGCCAACTTTAGTGGCCAAACTATGTACTTTCAAGGTTAAGGTCTTTCCTTTTGGTAATGAATGGTTGGCTATGGAAAAGAGCTAATCAGTCTTCTGGGCAATTATTTGAATATGAAGGGGTATGGCTCTTTAGTTACCTGCTTGAAGAGGAAAGTCAAGGAAACTAAATTAAGCCTCCAAGCATTTACTGAATAAATAAGATATGGACTTTGGCAATTATAATACTTGTCTAGGGTTTTATGCTGCTATTTTTTCCTCCCTCACTCTGTTTCTTACTAAACTATAGCCCTCATGATTACACTAGAATCTGGGGTTTAAGTCTCATTGACTTAATGTTTGGTTTGGACAGGATTTTATCTCTCGAAAAATATGCAGACATTTAAATCACAATGTCTTGTGTTAATGGTTAATGGATTAAATATGGAAATCTGATTCAATTATGATAAATTTGACTCAGTGGAGG